CACCACCAGCTTATCTGGGAGGACAAGCGGAGGGGCAGGGTGGCAGCAGCCAACTGGGGGGGTGTCCACAGCCTCCCCCTGCCACAGCCTGACTTTACCTTGCAGGGGGGAGCACGGCGGAGACGTGGCCTCGTAGGACACCAAGGGGTCTTGCACCTCGGAGCCGCTGCGGATCAGCCTCTGCGAGGGAAAGAGGAACACAGTGAGCCCTCCCCTTCCCGGGGCTTGGTCAGCCCACGGCCACCTCTGGAGGCATTTGGCCACCTCTGGAGGCATTTGGCCACCAGGATGAGGGGCCCGCTCGCCCCCTCCTCACCTGCCGCTTGCTGTCGGGCTCGATGGGGTAATTGCAGTGCTCACAAATGTCGATGTTCTCGATCCAGTCCTCGTCGTAGTCCGAGCTGCAGCAGCAGCCCATGGTGGCTGCCGGGGGGGGGGAGAGGTGGTGAGGGAAACCCTCACACCCCCAGCCCCAGCCTTGCCTCCCCCCCTGCTCCAGCTCATCCCCATCCCTGCGTCCCTCAGTCTGGCTTCCCACGTGGCATGGCCCGTCCCACACACTCCCCAGGTCCTCAGCGGAGCTGGGGCCATCCCAACTCTCTGTCGACAGCCATATTTTCTCCTAATTTTGCTCTGTCTTTGTTAATTAAAAACACTAAAGGCAATTAGTCCCCAGCCCGAGGCTCCCTTTTCCCACCAGCACAGCCTGGCGTTGTCTCCTTCGCCAGCTCCTTCCCACCGTGCAGCCCTTGGGCTGATCCCTCCATTCTCCATCTAGATAACGATCTAATTATGAATATCCCATCAGTAATTAACGCATGCCCCTGCAGCACGAGGTTTGGCTGGACCAGGCACCTCCCCGGCCCTAAAAGCAGCTCCTGGGGTGAGACATGGATGGGAGCCATCACCCCCTCCCACTCTGCTGAATCACCTGGGATTTCCTTCTCCCCCCACGCGTTCGACCCCATCACTGTGCTCCTGTTTCTCCTGCGCCAGGGATTGTCCTTCAAACCCCCATCCCTCCCCTGGAGCCCCTCACCAGCTCGCCCTGAAACACCAAGAACCCCCCAACCTCAAGCATCAGCCACGGTGACACCGGCGCGGGGCTGCACCCCAGGGTCCCCGGCGCCGCGGCGTGGGCACCGGGGCAGCCTGGCAGCGATGTCACGAGTGTTGCCTGGGCTCTGCAACGGGGCAGCAGCTCTCACCTTCCTGCAAAAGCTGAGCGTGGCACGGAGCCGGGAGCCCCGGCACTGCGTCATGTGCAAATGGCGGCCCACGGCCCTGGAAAAAGCTCTTCTGCAGAATCCCCCACGCCCACGCCGCCGGGATTTATCTCCACCAAGACCTGCCCCCCAAAGCTCGGCCCAGAAACTCTGGAGACTCTTTGGGGGCCCCGACGTTGGTTTCTGCAGGCAGTGGGTGCCAACGGCAGGGCTGGGAGCCCCCCGATGCCGAGAGCCAACCCAGGTGTCTCTGCCCCCCAGCACCCAAAATCCGCGACCGCTTTTGCAAACGCCGAGCGGGAGCTTTTATCTGGCAGCGAGGTGGTGCAGCTGCCAGGGTCCCCGTCCTCACCCTGCCTGGCAGCGAGACGGGTCCCCCACGAGCCGCTGAGCCCCGGGAGCTGCTTTTCTAGGGGCTGTTGGCACCGCCAGCGCGGCTTCCTCCCTGGTTTCCTACCAGGAGCCATCGCACGACTGCTTTTTCACAGGTACACACTTAAATTCACCTCCCCCCGTGGTGCCAAAGAGGGTACGGCCACGGGGGCTTCATTTGAGTGCGTGTCCCCCCCGTGGGCAGCTGGGGACAGAAGGGAAGAGCCTCACAGAGGGTGCCCAGGGAGGGTGCAGGGTCCCCAGGGTGCCGCCAGCCCCCGGTGCCACCAGCCCCAGCCATCAGCACCTGCTGCCAGGCAGAGCCCCCCCAGCCTGCGCTGCCAAGGGCTGGAGACCCTGAGCCCCCTCCCTCGGGGACAGGGTCCGCACGGCTGTTTCAGCATCCACAGCAAGGACACGGGGGTTGTCCCCACGGTGCCACCTCGGGGTGCCCACCGCCAAGGAGCCAGTGACAGGCAATTGTGGGGAGGAGAGGGCAGACGAGTGAGCCCCTCCCGCGCCGTGCAATGCTGCTCTGGGGACTCAAACGCTAAAAAACACCCTGGGTGCCTTCCACTCCTGGGGACCCTCATTTGGGAACACACTTTAGCACCCAAAAAGGGGTTCGGCCACACCGCAGGGGCAGACAAGGCCCCGGCGATGCTCAGGCAGCAGCAAACCCGATACCCAGCCCCAAGCACAACCCTGGCCCTGCAGAGGAGAAGCCCCCAGCCCCCCCCAGACCTGCCCGCAGCCTTTCGAATGCCTTTACCAAGGGCGAGCCATGCCAGAAGGTGTTTTTTCCTCCCTGCACAAAGCCGGGGTGGGGAGGGAGGTGCTGCTATTGTGCCTTTTTTTTTTTTTTTCTTACGTACTCAAGCCACAGCGTAATTTCCACCGAGCAGCCGTTTCACCTGCGCAGCGTGAGGGCCACGCCGGTGGAAGGGGGTGTTTGAAGTCAGGTTTGGTGACTGCATCTGTGCAACCGAATTTCTCGTGCGAAGAGGCTGCCTGAGAGGGATGTGTAGGCGCCTCTGCCCTGCGCCTCGCCGTGTCCCCGGGGGAGGTCTCTGCGGGTGGGCACACGTGTCCTCACACGGACATTTATGTCCCTTTGCCCAGTTTTGCTCCGGAGCGTGTCCAGACCCCTCGGCTCTTGCTGGAGGAGCTGTCCCGTGCCGGCCCTTCCGCAAACGCTTCTTCGGCCGGGTCCGGTTGGCTTGTTCACAAGTGTGGGCGGGCGTGAGGAGGGCTGAGGGCTGGGCTGACCCTGTCCCTGATGCTCTTTAAGGCTCACTGGGGTGTCCCGGATGTCCCCAGGCCAGCTGTGACCCAGCTGGACAGTTGGTCAGCCTCGCAGGGACGCAAAGGACCGCGTCCCCAAAGCTGCCATCGCAGCGGGGGGGTGTTTGCACTGAGACAGCACCGAAACCAGGGGTATCTCAGTGTCTGAACCCCCAAAGTGGGCAGCGGACCCCGAGGGACTGGCATGAAATCGCTGCCTGTCCTTAAGCTGCTCTTGCCCACAGCTGGGCAGGCAAGAACTTGGCCTTGGGGACAAAACTCCCACTTCGCCCTGGAAATGGGGACTTGGGGAGAGCCCCGTGAGGGGGCCAGCGCTCCCACCCCGGGCAGCCCCCCTGGGCAGGCAGAGCATCAGGACAGCAGCTTTCACCCCAGCTGGGAGGCCACAGAGGAATGGGGAGCACAGCCCTGCTCCCCCCATCCCTCACCTGGGCACCAGCGCTCACATCCCCCCGCAGCGGTGAGCCCCAGACCCCATTTTCATCCCTCCGAGAGGCAACCTCAGAGACTGCAACAGGACCCCCCACCCTCCGCAGGCACCCAGGTGGTCCCCAGCTCCCGTCTGGAGGGCGCAAACCCTCTCACCCCCGGGTCCCTGGTACCTGTTGGCAGCGAGGCGAGGACCAGCCGCTCTCAGACTCCCATGGCCCAGCGGCGAGAGCGAAGGCGTCGTCCCCGCTCACGTCCTCTCCATCCCTGGCAGGAGCGCGGAGACCCTCTGGGGAGCAGAGACGAGCCCCCCGCCCGCGGGCGCGCGCGCTCCCCGTCGCTGCCACTCGCTCTTGCTCACCTCCTGCCCTGGTTTCCTGCCTCATGAGCAAACTCTAGAGAAGCTGGTTCGCAGCTCGCGCACAACCGCAAGAGCTAGTGACAAACCCCGATGGCTTCCTGCCATCCCCAGCACGGAGGGTCCCTGCTCTGGGTGTCCCTGGCCACCCATCCCCAGGGAGCAGGGTGGACAAAGCGATGCTGAGCCCCTCGGTCGGTGGGGAAATGGGGTCCCGTGGGCTGGGAGATGCGCTGCGAGGGGCCAGCGATGGGCAGGGGATTGTCACCCCCTGCCCGGGTTGTCCTGGTGAGCTGACCCCCCCTGCTCCTTGGTGCTGTCCCCTCTCCAGAGCTCGGCGTGGGCAGGCTGACAGTGCCATGCACCATCTCCCCTGACCCCCTCGGACCCTACGCAGCTTGTGGGACTCATCCTGCACCCACAGCCCCTACTTGAGCCATCACCACCGGGTCACCCCGGACCCCGGCACCCCAAGAGCCACCAGTGAGAGAAGCTGAAGCCAAGGGGACACGTTGTGCCCCAGCCAGGCTGCCACCCTCGTGTTTATGGAGACAGCTCAGAGCAGAGCAACCACAACGCTATTGTCTTGGCTTTTGTGATCAAACATGAAGCCGCAGGTACCTGCTGGCTGCTCTGCGGAGGCACAGGCAGGAAGCCCAGCTGTGTTGGGGGGGGCTGTGACAACTTGAGGGGCACCACAGCAGCAGCACCGGACGCAGCATCCACCCTGGCAGGGACATTTCCCAGGGGCAGCCACGCAGCCCCGTTCCCTTGTGCTCACCGACACTGCGGGTGCCCCAGGCAAAGGGTGCGCTGCCAGGCCCTGGGGTGTGCCACAGCCTCGGGGTACATGTCGGGTTCTCCCTGTGTCCTGCTGCTACCCTGGGAAGGAGAAGCAGCCCCCCAAACTATCCCTGGGACATCCCACAGCTTGCTTGGATCACCCCACCTCTTCCCCAGCACGCCTTGATAAAAACAGTCTGAAAATTGCATCCCCAAGCGGCAACTTCTTTTGTAAAGGGTTTGGTGTTAATGGAGGAAAGGAAAAAGCCAAAAGCAAACCCCTCTGGTGACAGCGACGTGTCCAACCCTGGCTGGCACTACCCCCAGGATCCCTCCTGCTCCCAGCACAGTGCTGCAGGGGGTTGGAGATGGGTCAGGATGGGGGTGTGGGGGCTGCCAAACCCCGAGCACAGTCCCCAGCACCTCCTGGCCTCAAGCCTCAAAAACAACCCCTCTGTTCGCAGCTGGTTCGGTGACGAGCGTTTCCTGCAACGGTGCAGCCCGAGCACCCACCCGCTGCCAGGGGCGTCCGGGAAGAGGCGGGCAACCCGAAGCAAAGACGCCGTCTCTGGCATGGCACCATCCTGCAGCAGAAACCCCCGAGAAGCCACCCACCCTGCAAAGCAGAGCCCTGGGGCGTGGCCGGGGAAGGGGCGATGGCAGCATGGTCCCCTCTGCCACCCCCAGGTCCCCCACAGCGAAGGGGCAGGAGCCACATCTGCAGGCGCGGGCAGGTGCCTGGGTGCATGTAAAAACAGGAAAAAAGCATCAGCTCTCGCCTTCACCTCCTTTTATTCCTCCTCAAGGGGCTGCTCCCCATATTTCCCACCATCCTTATGGACAGGGCACTGGGTGCCCCAAAACACCCTGTGCCCGATGGGGATGGTGGCACGGCGTTGTCCCCGGGGCAGGGCTGGCAGTGCCAGGGCTAAGCACCGCCCGCCCCGAGGGAGCTCCCCAGTCCCCGGGGCGTCTTGAGAAGGACCCTTGAGCCCTACCAGGTCTGGATGCACCCATGGGTGCCCACGAGGCTCCGGTCCGGGCTCAGTTCCGAGCACTCCGAGGGGTCCCACCGCGCTCAGCAGAGGGAGAACCGCCGGGAGTTGATGTTCATGCGGGTGACGCCGATGTGCTTGAGCGGCGTGGAGAGCAAGAAGGCGGCCTTGGGCGGGATGTTGCAGAGCAGGTCCGAGTCTTCCTCACAGCCCTCGAGGCCGAAGGTAGCATCGTCCAGCATCTCCTTGTGCTGGTGGCAGGCCTGCTCCACCTTCAGCCGGTGCAGCCGCGCCCGCAGGCGCATCAGCTGCTGCGCCAGGCGCTGGTCCACAGCCTGCATCTCCCGCTGCACCGGGGTGGGGGACAGAACGGGTGTGAGGGCCGCAGCAGGACCAGCCACCGAGGGAGGCAACGCTGGGGCAGGACACAAATCCACCAGGGACCACGCGCAGACGGGGCGCTGGGATCCGCGCAGAGCCCGCGCGCGTGGTCCTGGGGTCGGGGTGATGGCACAGGGTCAGCTCGGGTGGGCTTGTAGCCGTGGGGTTGTTGCTGCTTGTGCCACCCCAGGAAAGCCACCACGGCTGTGCCACAGCGAGGAAGTCCAGCGCAGCCATGCACAGGCGGGAGGGGGTGACAAGCGCAGACCCTGACAGAGCTGTGACCCCCGGCGCTGCACGGGGGACACGGCAGAGCTGTGGCACCGCAGAGCCACACGTGGCCTTGCAAAAAATCCACAAACACTGTCCGTGCTGGGAAAAGGAGCAAAGCCTCACGCTGCGGCTGGAGCACCCTGAGCCTGGCACATCCCATCGCTGCTACGGGAGGTCGGGCTGCAAATGCTCCCCTTGCGCGGAGAAACCCCGAGGCCCCGTCCCTGCCTTGGGGCCCAGCCCCTGCCCCCCTCTTCGTGCCCCCCATCCCACCAGCAGCTACTCACCAGCTCCATCCTGAGCCACTCCAGAGCCGCCTCCACGGTGGCGAAGCCACAGACGCCACCATCCCACTCCTCCTCATCCCCGGGGTGCCCAGGGCACTGCTCTGCCCCCCGTGCCCCCCCGGGGGTCCGGCTGCGCCAGGGCTGCCCCCTCACCCGGGCTTCCCACTCCAGGTAGGAAGGTCTCCGCGTCTGCAGCTTCAGCTTGGCCGTCAGCGCCTTCACGCTGTCCAGGCTCTCCTCCTCCCAGGTGGGCTCCTCCTCGCCCAGCTCCTTGAACTTCAACTCGCCAAAGGGCATGGTGGCACCCGCCAGAGCCCCCCAAAACCCTTGGGTGACCTCTCCCCCCCCCCCTCAAACCCTCCGCGCAAACGGAGTCTCTGCCCCACTGCGCCTACAGAGTGAGGAGCACCCCGAGCACCCACCCGCTCCCCACAGCTGCACCCACGTCCCGGTTATTTATTCACCCTCAGAACAATAAAGG